GTTGAGTTCATCTTCTTCTCCTTTCTTGCCTCTTCTTTTGCTCCAAAAATCTTAATCTAGAGAGAGAGAATTATTTCTAAACTTTGAACAATTTTAGCTAAAAGTTGGTAACCTTACAAAAATGGTCCAATTTGATTTAAATACAAGCCTCTTTATGTAGGCAACAAGTCAGAAAATAGGCATTTCATGGTCTAATCCCGCATCCATAAGTTAGGTGGAGTTCGGGCACGCTCGGGAATTAAACAGCTCATTGCCAATAGGGACTTCGATCGATTGAAGGATACTTCGATTGATCGTAGATGATGTGGCAAGAAAATATATTCTGTTGACCTTATCCTTTGCTGAGTTGCCATGCTGACATGGCTTCGATGGATCGACAAGGCTTCGATGGATCGTGGTTGAATCTTTGATCGTTCGAAGGTACTCCAGTGCACTTTTTCTGACTTTTTCCGGATTCTCTTCTTAACTCCAAAAAGGAGCTAATAGGCTCTTTTTAGCCCGTTTGAATCTTATTAACCTGAAATAGACAAAAACAAGAATTAATTAAAACGAGAAAGTAAGATAGATGAATGGACTAAAATACCCTAGCTTAGGTGCTAAAATGTGCAACATTTAAGCACTTATTAGTAAGTCTACACCTGTGCCACTAAAGAAAATGATATTGCTAATAAGCAATTTTGGGCACAAAGTATATATATGTTCTCAACTGGAGAAATCTCTGTAGAGTGTAATATTTCTAAACACAACTTTTTGGCCACATATAAAATTGAGGGTTGTATTAGAGAGCAATTGTACAGATCATCGAGGGAAATGGGGTTAAAGCAGAAAGCTAATGAGTCACCTTAATAGAAACCCAACCTAGCTGACTGGAGATCCCAAGATCCAGGTTCAAAGGGACAATAGAATTTCTGAGTGACTCACCAGAAGCACTGGGAAGATATAAATCTTCTACCCATTTCTATGATGAGACAGTGCTGCCTACAACGAGGGTTAGGATAAGCTATATTTTTAATAACTCTTATACCTTAAAAATTCAAGTGGGGTATGGTAGGATACTCTTAATAAGAAGTCACCTATATGAGTATGAAGTGTGGCTGCTTCTATGAGAACTATAAAGGCTACGTTTTCTGGAGCACTCATTGAATACCAGGAGTTGTTCAGGGCCAAAATGAACAAAACAATGAGAACCAACTCTGTGAGGAAGGGAACTGTGTGTTTGCTATTGTCTTGGTTTACATCAACGGTTAAACAGTTCAAGACATCACGTTCATTGGTTAGCCAATAAATCCAATAGTAATACACTAGGGAAGGTTCAAAGCCAAAAGCTACCTATCCTAATGCGGTAACTTTCCGACTATATTCTCTCTAGTGTCTGCATGCTAAATCTTTGCATTTAAACAACCAATTTCCATTCATATGGGGGATCGTTAGAATTTTTGAATGAAAATTGTTTCATCAATCATCAACAGATACCTTTGACTGAACACGTGTGATCATTGGTTGGTTGTGGGATGAAAAGATGCAACTCAAAACTAACAGATATAACTTATTCAATGTGAACCATTGCAACCTATTGTAGTGGGTGTGTCCAGTGATGAATAGACACATATAAAATGGTTATGTCCAGTGATGAAGAGACACATATAAATGGTTGTGTCCAGTGATGAAGAAACACATATAAATGATTGTGTCCAATGATGAAGAGACACACTCAATTCGAAAAAGGCACTTCTTTTTCTATAAATACCCCCTTGGGCTGCCATTTGCATTTCGTTCAATTCATTTTCTTCTCTCTCTCCCTCTTTAGACTTGAACCCAATCCAAGTGGTGTTCAAACCATAGGTTAAGTGGTCCTAGCAAATTAAACCCTAATCTAATTTCATCAAACCATATTAAGATTGTTCCGAACCATTTGGTTCGGATTGCACCCAATTCAACATTTATATATTATATATGCATTTTTGAGTTGGAGAGATTATTACACGGAGGAGATTCGCCATATCCACGAGTTTATAGTGCTGCTACTGGTGAATGTAGACCGTTGTATCTTGGGAGACAAGCGCCACAGAGTCTGCCAACACCATTCCGACCGTAAATTGTCTTAAGAACATAGTATTTAATACTAGCCTTGGTCCAGATTCTTTATTTATTATTATTATTTTGATTTAAATATTTAATTAAATATCGAGTTGCATATTTAATTAATTATTTTTAACATATTATTAATTATTTCATGGCATATTAGTATAAGGTTAGCTATATTTTAAATGTCAAGGATATAATTTTTCAACACTTTTGACTTGTAAAATGACATTGTAACCCTTTAACTTTGTCAAAATCCACTTTAACCCTTAAAAATCATTTAAAAGACCAAAATACCCATATTTTTTTCCCAAATTGACTCATCAGACCATCCAAAATAATTTATATTTATGGTTGTCTTTCTTATTTTATCATGTAATACCATTGTTGAGTTCTTTGCATGTTGAACTACCAAATTTCATCCGGTTACAATCAATAATTTGAATAAGAATTGATATGACAATTGATGGAACCTTAAGCCCTTTATGGTTATTCTAATGCATACGGAATTACATATGTTTATATATCAATAATATATATATATATATATATATATATATATATATATATATATATATATAGAAATAGAGAAACCGAACGTTTCTACCGAAATAAACATCGAATCTTACGTGGCTTTGTCCATGTCAAATAATTTCATTACCTAACTCCTTATCATCGATCTTTTCTTTCCAAGTTTTTCCTTTTTCTCTCTTTTCCTCTTCGTTCTTTCTCCTCTCTGTGTCTGGTTCTTCACCAATTCTTCTTATACATCTCCTCTCTTAAGATACACATTTCGAAAGTATTCTAGAGACAAGATCCAAAATTCTTTTTCCTCAGCTTCTTTTTCAAGATTATCTACTTTTCTTTATTCATAAATCTTCCAAGAATAAATCTTTCCAATTCCAAATGAAAACTATGTAGAATTTTTTTTTTTTTTTGAGTAAGTAAATATCCACACAAGAGTTATCATTAATCCAGAGAAGAAAAACGGATGAATCTTCTCAAAGTTTCTATTTGATTTTTATGGATACAAAATCTGAAGGAGAGAAACAACAGTTGTAGCTTTTATTTTCTTTTTCTTTTTCTTTTTTGTTTTGTTTTGGTTTTGTGATTCTGTATTTGCAAAACATGAAGAAATTTAATTTTTTTTATTTTATCTTCAATTTTACGAAATCAAAAGAGAGACAAAAACAAAATCAAAGATAAGATTGAATACAAAAGAAAAATCGAGAATTAGAGGAAGAGAGGAGAGAGAAGGGAAGAGGTATGAGTTATGTTTTTAGAAAATAATCTGACGTGGTTGAGCCACGTTAAATTCGATCTTTTATTCGGTTGTTTGGTTCGGTTCTCTTATCATTTTTCATATATATATATATATAACAATCAAGTTCAATTGGATATAATCTAAAACAAAGGAATTTCAATTACAAACTGAAACAAAAGGATTTCAATTACATACATTTATATATCAAGAATATATAGATAGACATCTATATATATATATATATATATTAACAAACTAGTTCAAATGGAGATGACTGAAACAAAGGGATTTCAACAAATTAAAATTAAAAAAAAAAAAAAAAACCCTAATTTTGGATGAGAAATTGGAAGAAGATATACTGTCGGGCATGGAAGTGGGACAGGGCGGAGATGTTGTAGACCTCGTCGGCGAGGATGGTGTCAAGCCAGTAGTAGAGGTCCAAGCATTTTGCATTGTTCATCAAACCCTATGTTGTTTACTGTTTATCAAACCCACAACCCTTTGTTCACTATTCACCTCAGTGTTACAGGCCCACAACCATCACCATCGTCCACCATCGTCTATTCGAAATAAGAAGTATTAAAAATTTAGGAGTAAAATTGTGTATGTTTTTAACGGTGTCATTGACGGAAAAATAATTTGGGGTCTGAAGGATAGTTATTTTTTAAAGATATTTCAGTGTAATGTTTGTCCAAACCTGAAGGGAGTGTCAATGAAATTAATTTTTTTTTTAGGTGGAGAATAAGACTCAAACATAGACACACCCGCTCAAAATTGCAAATTCGAAGATATTGTATGCAAGGATAAGCTGTTTTAACTTGTTAGAAGAAGGGTGTTTTACCTAATGGCCTAGTGTTACAAGGGGAGACTTGTCCTACATCGAATCCGGATGGGAAGTGACATGGGTATAAATGGGTGGATATGCAGCACTACTCAATAATTCGAACTTTTGGGTAAATGGATAAGCGCCCACCCGTTACAGTTGGTATCAGAGCCAAACCCACTCCTTGATCCGGTGCCACGCCGAGCGCCCGGCCCGGAAGGCGTCCGGGTGAGTCACCCCGGGTAGGCAGGGTGGCCCGATCGCAACGAGGGCGTTGCAAGTTCGGGTGGGGGAGAATGTTACAAAGGGAGACTTGTCCCACATCGGATCTGGATGGGAAGTGACATAAGTATAAATGGGTGAATATGCAATACTACCCAATAGTTCGAACTTTTAGGTAAATAGACAAGCACCCATCCGTTACACCTCGTCGGTAGAGCATTTAAAATTCTTTCAACTCCCCGTAACATTTTAGTCCTCATTTTTTAACAGGAAATTTACATATCCGCATTACCTTCGTTAACCATCTTTTTCTTTAAAAAATAAAAAAAATATCACTAGATTATGACCCTTCGGTAGCACGTCAAACCTTCTCACCTCATGGAGCAGCATGCAACTTGCAAGACAGTGCCCATGTATTCAACGTCACTCAGCCGTGTATACCTCAAGTGGACAGTTATTAGAAAACAACACAAAAGCAAAATGACAAATTGATTCATCAAAATAGATCCCCGTGATCTTATCTTATCAATACAATTTTTTTTATTTTTGGAATTTTTTTAATTTGCTATACCAAATATTTCACATACAAAGTTAACCAAACAAACCAAGTGGAAGAAGCAAAACCAGTCCATTAGATTCACATACACATCAAAATCATCACAAAATTCTACTTATCTCAAGAAAGAGCAACAAATACAATAGAAATAGTCTCTTGCAATCAATACACATTCCACATCCTATCATTACATATAAGTTACTAACTCCACTCCATGAGTCACGCTTTTGCACAACAATTGAAATAGCTGAAAATACTCCTCCGTGTCTGTCAAACAAAAATAAAAACATCTCATCAGAATCAAATCAACTCAACACAACATTCACTTTTCAGAATTAGATAATTACAGTAATAAATTAGCTTCACTAAAAGCTAGTGAATTCTCAAGAGATATTATTATACGGTCCGGGCTGCCAATTTTTAACCCGACACACAAGCAAACATGACAGCTATATTCAGTTTTTTTATAGAATTTTTCAATTCCCACCCCAGTTGTATATATATAACATAAAAGATCATTTTCTGCATTTCAATAAATGAACTCACCTGTATCTCTCTCGTATTTTGCCTACTTGAATGTTTCAAAGTGGTGGTCCCATTTTTTGTTTTGTGCCTCCATTCAGAAGTGAAAATATATATATATATATATATATATATATACATATATATATATATATATATATACATATATATTATGTATCCAACAGAAATTAAAATGAAACAGTTTATCCAAGAGATACCCATTCATTCAATCTACTAGCATATCTTACTGAGAAGTCATTTCAAGAATTAATTGTTTCCTTTCAAAATTTTTTTTTTCTTGGCAAACTAGGGGGAGGCGACTGAAAAATAGGCATAACCTCGGGGGGAGTTAGGCCATCTACCAACTAAGCAATGCCCACTTGTTTCCTTTCAATTGGCCAGCAGATTTTGTCTGGTCTGACAATCGCATCCATAGCTATTCCCCAACCCAAAGTGTTTTCTTTTTCTGGAAAAAGAAATGTTTTTATTTAAAGTTGAATACCAAAACAAATTCCATCACAACCAAATAATCTGTGGCCTGTAACATCGGTTACATGTGCACCACTAGCGTGTGTCCAAGGTAAGATGAAACCATCCCCACCTTCTCCCAAAGAAAAGGAAATTGCGATGCCAATTGTTGTCATGCCCACCTAATGAAAATATTTTTTTTACAAAATAATTTTATTTGCTATGGTACCTAATCCAAGGAACCCATTCTCATTGTGCTAGAGATTATGTATAAAGTATCATATCGAGAAAATCAATGACAACATTATGTGTAAAGTCAGTAGCTAAGTCACACAATCCTTCTCAACAGTCTTTCTCTCACTCTCCGTAAGTTCTTGCTCCCTTTCTCACTATATGTAACTTAAATTTTGCCCTTTTTGCTCTCCCACTCTCAAATTCGCTCTTACTTTCGCTCCCGCTTTATGTGACTTAGGTAAGTTATAGTAAGCCTCTCGACCCGTCCATTATTGTAACAACAATTACAAGGATAACATTCCTTCAAAATTAAAAGCAAAACATCTGTTGTTTTCATGGAGGTCCATTATTATATGGTATGAGGTACATGAATTGTGTTTGAAAACTTAGCAATTGTCCCCTGCCGTCCTACCACAAGTCTACCACTATCATAAATGTTATTTAATATGTCCTATATTTATTAGTAACTAACAACTGCTGCCCTTATTTAAATATTCAACACTATATCAAATACTGATTTAGAAAAGAAAAAAAAAAACTATCCATATAGTTTTAAAAGAAAATTGATAAAAATAGCTAAAAGGGCAGCCGAAATGGTTGTCCGAACTTCATTTTCTTGCCCTTGATGCAGTGAAGTGGGGTTCGGCCATCCATTTCGGTTTTAGGTCTGAATAGCATGGTTCATACTGAAAACATAAATCTGCTAAAGCTATAAGGTCAAGCTTAGAAAACTTACAGTTGGAGAGTGGTTTTGATGGTAATTGTGATCATCACTGTGGCTCGTATTTGTATCGGTGGTGGTTGAGGAGGCAATGAGCTCTTCTTCGTTTCCCATACTGGCTCTAGATACATCCCTCTTGTTCTGTTTCCTCATTTCTCTGATTTTCGAGAAATCGAGAGAGTAGTCCGGCACTTCTCCCTTTTGGTCCCAGTCCCCAAATTGGGGCACTGATAGCCATGGTTCGTTCCTCTGCACAAAATAGGAAATTACAGTTGATCACCACCAAAAGAATCAATACTTCTTCCAATTCTCAATAAAGAAAAGTCTTGAAGATGCATTTTTCATAGATAAAACTTACAAAGAAGATGCATTCTTGGAAAGAAAAAAACAACTATTTTCTTAGAAACATTTGTGCGTGTGTGTTTGTGTTTTCATGGAACCTTGAAGAAGTATATGTTTTTTGGAAAAATTCAAGAAGTAATTTTATATATTTCATTTTTAAAATTTTGTTGATGACCTACCATGAGAAGTTTACATCTTTTTAACCCTCAAAACTTTTAAATGTTCAATACTCCCTTATTATATTCTACAAGAAAGTAGACATGCCCAGAAATTCTTTGAGTTGAATATATATATATTGTCTCAGTTCAGTACACATTGCATGACTAATATTGCTTATCCTCCTAAGAAAAATGAGGCTTCCCAGTTGTATAACTTGTATTCCACTTAATTTTCTGCTTTTTATATCTTCCTTTTTTTTTTTTCAAATTATATTTAAGAAAATTCTCCATTCAAGGATTGAAAATTTTCAAATTTGGACACAGGGACCACACACCACTTTACCATGTATAAAATTTCAAAGCATAAGGATATGAACAGAGGCTCATCATGACATCCACATAATTTCAACTCAAAAAAGCCAAACTCAAAATAAAAGAATTTTTTTTTTTTTTTTCTTTCTTGAGTTTGCCTAAATTCTTTCTCAATTTAGGCAAGTGTGATGATGATTGCTATTGACAAAATCAATTAAAAGATTTGACCAAAAAAAAAAAAAACCCAATTCTCTGCAAACCCAAGAACTTCAACCAGATAAATAATCAACATATCTGGGGGGAAATCAAAGATTAAAGCAAGCTTAAAGCCTAAAACTACAATCAAACAACAATTAAAACACATACACACGCACAGAGATAGATAATACTAGTCTAGCAAGAGCATATATGACCTCTGAAAAAGTAAATCCAAACCTTTAGGTTCGATTAAACTCTCCTAATTTGATTTTAATCCAAACAAATAATGATTTGCTTGTCATTATACAATTTTCATGATCAAAGAAGGAAAGAGTAGAAGTAGTACAGAGTTTGAAATGAGAGAAAGGGAGTTTAGAGAGAGAGAGAGAGAGAGAGAGAATGGACCTTGCGATCTTCCATATGATCAGATCTTCTGTTTCGAAGAGAAATATATCTAAAGCTTCCTCTGGAGATGGTTTATGTAATCACTAATACGTAGTAGTAGAAGAAAGTGTCAAATTAAGCTGAGGTGAGGCGATACATATATATAGATACAGATACAGATACAGATACAGAAATATTAGTATGCGTATGTATGTATAATATATAGAGAGGCGGTCTGGTCTGTCTTAAAAGGACTAATACGACTGACTCTGCGTGTGGCGGAGGAAAGGGCTCACAGCACGATGACAGCACTGGATAGGAGCCGTGTTGGCATCGCGTATATAATTATGGTCAGGATCTTCTGTGCCTTAAATGAGATAAAAAGTACTTGTGGTTGTGCCTTTCTAATTTCTAGATTTTTAATTGTATTACGGATCTTATTCAATTTGAAAATATTGGAAACTAGTTTTAATTTGAAATATATATTGGACATTGTATTTTTTTCTTCCATCCGAATGGGATGTGTGGGATAAATCTCTACTTGTAATATTCTCCCTCACTCGAATCTCGTTGTGATCGGGCCATCATGTCTACCCGAGTCGTTCACTCGGACGTCTTTTGGAACGGGCACTTGGCATGGTATCGGATCAAGGATCGGGTCTGACTCTGATACCAACTGTAATGAGTGAGCGCTTACCCATTTATTAAAAAATTTAAATTGTTGGGTAATGTTACATACCCACCCATTTATTCCCAATCATTCTTCCATTCGGATCCAATATGGGACAAATCTCCCTTTATAACAAATCACCAAATGCAGCATTATGCTTTAAAATGTGAGAATGTAACACTAGATTACTCCCTTTGATTAGTTGTTACGTTAATGACTAGTTATTCTCTTCTAAGAGCATCTCCAATCGTTGTGTTTATATATATTTTTTTGTGTAAATCTGATGTATCATAATATATTTACACAAAAATTTATTTTGGATTATTTTTTTTAGCTTTAGAGGACAAGCATCCTCTAAGTTAAAAGCCTTCTACATTATTATAAGTTGAATCACTTATACACTGACACATGACATTTTAAGTAAATCATGGAAAATCAGAAGATTACAACAACTAAGAATATCAAAACAATTAAAAACATTAAATCTAATGGATTAGATTATAAGAAAGAAAGGAAGAGAATATTTGAAGTATTACAGCAATATTTCATAGGTTGATGTTATCCTTCGACTCGACCCTGAGCATTATGGTTTTCCCTGTTAGGATTTTCACGAAGATCTACATTTTCTTTTAAGGGTTCGATGAATTAAACACTTTTTACTAATGGTATTTCTGCCTGAACGTGTTATGTGATTCAACACATAATTCAATAAGGAGTTTTCATTAACAACGGTTTCTTCCCGTAGCCCTAAATGACATAGTATTTGAAGTTTTATTAAATAAGTTGATGTGGTGTAATTTTAGCCATAGATTTACTTAAAATGCCACGTGTCAGTGTGTAAGTAATTCAACTTATGATAATGTAGAGGGCTTTTAACTTAGAGGATCCTTGTTCGCTCCGAAGGTTGTTATATACCTTTTGTGTAAAAATATATTCCCAATAACAATCAACCAGTATCATGCTTGGACCCCACATAATTTTTATAAACCTACTTAATATATGGTTGATTTGTTAATGGAATGAGAAAGAGGGAGGAGAAAGGAAATATGCTGATATGACTGTGTAAAAAGGTTGTATAAAATACACAACAATTTTACATATTGATGACGTGTTACTATATCTTAATAGACTGCTGGAGGTAAAAAAAGAAAAAAAAATAATAAAATAAAATAAAATTACACATCATACGTGACAGTGTATATATTTTACACAGAAGAGTATTTTAACAGACTACTGGAGATGCTCTAACAAATTAGGATCTTATGTTACTCCAAATTCATTTTTTTAGAATGTCGTTCTCCTACTATTCATCTTAACATTCTTACCCTATAGAATAGTTGACCTAATAAATACTATAAATATTTTCTTATAAGTTATTTGTGATTGTTTTTTGGACAACACTTGTGTCCAACCCAGGTTGGACGAAGTTCATTCAACCTGGGTACATGGCCCAATCAGTGCATGACAAGTATCTTGGATTTAAATTGGGTATTACCCAACTATTCGGGTTTGACCCAACTAACATTTTACATTTTCTTTTTGCTTTTGCACATCACATTTGGGTAGAAGATAATAATCATGGAGACCTAGTTCATCATCCTCGTCTCACTATATATCTCAGCACTGATCAAATCTTTCTTCAACCTCCTCTTGTCTTCTTCTTCTTCTTCCAACAACAAAAAGAAGCGCCGGGACCATCTATTTTTTTGATCATCGGAAACTTTCTATGGCTACGGAAGTCATTTTCGGAGATTGAACCCGTCCTCAAAGACCTTCGGCAAAAGTACGGTCCCATCATCACTCTACATATAGGGTCTCGGCCAACCATCTTCGTCGGCAACCACTCGCTCGCCACAAAGTCCTCGTCCAGAACGGCGCCGTCTTCTCGGACCATGTGATACCCCTGAATTTTTGGATGCGGGTTGGCCAGGCCCACGCCCGATTATCCGATTATATCAAAACGAATCGGCAATAATCAAACACAGAATACAAATATGACAAATAAGAATAAATAAAAGACTGAAAGAAACTAAAATGATAATCCTTTAATAAAACCTCAGAATAAATTTTCATTAACAAATTCTTCTGATATAAGTAATCCTCCAATTTATACAACTCGGGAATCCATACTCTGTGGACCCCTGGAAAACCAAAACTAATCAAATGACAGCAATAACTGTCTACATCAGAAAATTGAAACATAAATGCTTCCTAAGTAAATAATTCGGAAGAGTGAAGTAGATAATCCCTGCTCAGCATGAACAATCCCTACTCTTGACGAATACCTGAAAAATGATGGTGGGTCAGGCCCACAAACAAGTTTTACTCTACTATAGTCCAAGTAAAGACCCGATACGTAGATACATCCTAGATAACCCCAACAATAGCTAAATAGTCCATATATGTATATATATACACACACTATAGGACACTCGCTAGCCCAATAGTTCTGTCTCAGCCTAAATAGAAGGTAACATGCAAATCGCATATCACGTGGGCATGTATGCCTAAACCTACCAGGGAACATCAACTATGTTCAATTATCCATCCTAGGCGATATACACATCCTAACCATAATTCTAAGACTCAAGCTCATATCATGGTACCATAATCATATATATAATATCCTTCCTAATGCAGAATATAAAAACAAACATCCAATATGTCATTCAACTGTTTTAGTTGACTTGACATGAATATAGGTAGGACTTAACCTTTATAGTTAATCTAATCCCTATTCCAAAATAGGTAGGAGTTAGCGTTTTGATCTAATTCATACCTAATATGCCACCGTCCCATACCGGTGTATATAAGCCACAAAACAAATCCAATAATTGACAAAACAGAATAAGCAGTTCATCAATTAAAATTCAAGATAACATATACGTAATTGACCGAACTAAATTTAATAGTTCATCAATTAAAATCCAAAATAAGCATAATAAAATCTAAGAAGTATATGACCCTATTATATATCCAATACAGATTTAAAATCCATGTTCCAGTCATTTAAACTGCTAAAAGAAAACTAGACAATTAAATCATTTACATCCGTTAACAACATGCAAAATTGTTTAAAATTCCATACTATTAAATCCACTAGCATACAGATGTTAATTATGCAATATGAGTTTTAATATATTGTAAAACAATGTTTAGAATCCTTAATAATAACCCAGAACAGTCCAGGAACCCCAAAAGTATCAAAACCGTACCCAAAACCACATCCAGTACATCTTTAAGTATGAGAGCTTGCTCTCAAAAGTTGAGAGCCAGCTCTTAACCAATGGGAGCTGGCTCCCCTACCTTGGGAGCTGGCTCTGTGACTTAGGGAGCCAACTCCCTCAATCCATGGAGCCGGCTCTCTCTCTTACAGAGAGCCATGGCCAAAAATCTTAGGGAGTCGGCTCCATCCCCTTGGGAGCCGGCTCTGTCCTTACTTCCTATTGTTGTCTTCGCCTCCGACGATGCTAAAAACACTCTGTAATGTCTTAGTTTAAGTTCCTAGATGTCCGACCATGTCCCAAATCATCCAGAAATCCATAAACAATCCAGTATGCATCGTTAACAAGAATTAAAACATATACCGAAACAATTTGCTCAATAAATCAATACATAAAATAGTTTAGAGTCTGAATTAACATGCATACAATAACCGTTTTAAAGTCTGATTAAATTCCTGGAGATTATCTAGGCATGCACAAAACAAAGGTCAAAGGGAAA